TTGCTTCCCAGTTTCCCTCATCTTTCCTGTCCTCCCTTCTCTTCCATTACAAGACTAGCCTCATGCTCGCTAGGGAGCCTGGTAACCTCTTGGCCCAGAGTGCTGAGGGTATTGTGAGCTACCAGACTTAGTTATTTTGTAGATCACACAAGACAATGTGGTGCATTGCTATGTGATACAAATGGTGAAACTTAGAGACCGTGTCCACACCTATCCATCTGCCACCTGTCCCAACCCCATGGTTCTTCCCTTAGAGGGGCACTGCGGCTCCCATATTGAAGTATATCCTTTTTGGCCTTGTCCCTTCTGTGTATACTCTGAGCAATAGATAGTATCAAGTTTTAGATATATAATTTATATATTTGGTACTCTCTACCTGAATTTTTCCAATATAACCAACACAGAGAGGTTTTTCTAAGTTAGACATAGTGGGTTACTTGATGCTTTTGACTGCTACATAGTATTCCAAAGTACAGAGAGCCTCCTTCTGTGTCTCATTTGATAGATGTTTAGTTTTGTTTCCCCTGTTTCTCGTTTCTAGTTAGCAAGGCTGCAATGAAAATTTTTCTACATATATCCTTCTAAGTTATCTCTTTTCTCCCTGATGGTGGTCGATGGAAAGTGGACTTTTTGTTCCCTGGGGTTGCATCCTGTGTCACCATCTCTTTCAGTTCCTCTACTCAGCTGTTGTAGTTCTATACAGTACAGGAGTCCCCTCAGCCCATGCTCTCACCACCACTGGGTTGGATCCAGATTATTTTCTCATTTATAAGCATCATATTATGGAGTTTATTTATCATTGTATAATACTGAGTGGGACTACACGGTTTCATTGCCTACCGTGTTCCTGCCAACTGCTTTTCACCTTTCACTCACTAGTCTGCTCTGCTGTGCTTTTTCATATGAATTTGTAGGAGTTAAGCATATTTTATGGCCTAATCATTCCTTTGCTTTATACCACCAACACCGTCTTCAACCTCTTGTCTGTCTTTTCTTCATGATGTGTTATTACCTTATATGGGTTCACATTTGCCAAGTTTGTCAATCTTTCCCTTCATGGATGATGCTTGTGGGGGTTTCAGAAAAAGTTTTGTTGGTTCTGCCTTCTCCAGGTACAGTGACTGGATAATCTGTCATCTGTAATTGGTAATGTTTAATTTGAAGTGTCAGTGGGAAATTCATGCAACGTAAGATCAAGGGAAGATGGATATTTCAGAATGGAGCTGAATTCAAATCCTTCACTGGAGATACAAAGTGGGGTTCCCAGAGTGGGGGAGGGTTTGCAAGCAGGGGTCTCAGAACACCCAGAGAGCATGCAGTGTCAATGGGGACTGAACAGGAGCAATTTGGACGGCGACATGAGTTCTTGTCAAAGGCATACTGGGACAAATATGGATGCTCTGTCCCAGTTTGGATGCTCACTGGCTAGACAAGCATCTGGCATATTAATTCATAGAGGAGAGATGGGGTTTGTGAAGAAAAGTAGAAAGCGACACTCCCATTCTTCACTGAAATTGAAAAACGTTAAGTGTGAGTAGGGTTGACAAGAGTGTGGCCAAGGAAAATGCTGGGGACAGAGAGAATCAAAAGTTGTTAAATGGGAGGTTTGGAGTGGTCTGTCTCTGAGCAGGCGCAGCAACCTGAAAGTCAGCTGAGAGAGACCAGGTGTCCAGCAGATCACCTCTAAGTAATGGCAATCTTGACTGACAGCCCCAGTGGCAATTGCTTGACAACCCAGACTGTGGTTTTGTGGGTACTTGAGGAGTTAGGTTCACACCCATGCTAACAAAACACAAGCATTCACATGTTGCAGACAAAGTAAAATTTATTAAGACAGACAGAACTGCGCCTACTCAGGACTACAGGTAAGCGTTTGCTATTAACCAAAGAGTTGTGTTCACATTCCAGAAAAGTCTACATGGAAAAGCATTCAGAGTACTGGGTTTTCTACGTCACTATTTCACCTACAATAGGGACAACAAACTGACACTCTGGATTTGATGGGCTTTTGTTACAAGTCTACACATTGAACAGGGACAAACATTAGTGACTGAGAAAATGTGTAAAGTGACCAAAACCACCCATTGTAGAACGGGCTCTTGGATGCTACTGTACAGTGTGGTCAAGGTAAAACAAAAGCAAACCTAACACCAATGGCATTGTGGGATGAGCAGAGGGCAGACCTGGACAGACGAGCCGTCATTTCTGGCATAGGTAGGTATGTGGGCATAAAGGAGGAGCCGAGAGAAAGCCATATGAAGGCATCCCCATGCTAAGAATAGCTGTAGAAACCAAACACTTTAACATGGCAGACAGAGAACCATGGTGGGAGAGAATTCTAGGGTTTAAGATGGATGCCATACTAATGGTATTAAATAACTGTTTTGGAATTTGAGTATCAACTGAAGGGTTTTCTAACATAATAAAAAGGGTATTTTTTCAGTACCCACCAAAAAAAGGGGTTAGTTATCATAGTAGCATTTGCCTTAAAAGCATTGTATGATGCTCAGAATTGTTATTGGAATTAAATTATTGGAATTAAAGGCTCCTTCCAAACAGGACAAGGGAAGTTTTATATTTCAGGAGACGGTAACACAAAGTCTGATTTTAAGTACTACTATAAGTCTTTAAAACCCAGTGGGGGGCATGAGAAGTGGTGTGGCGTTGTTGACGTGGGCTCCAGACGTAGGAGGGCTTTTGATTTAATATTTTAATGAATGAAACATCTTCTTGGGATGCCTCTGGAAATGACACCTCATTAGCTTCCCGGGACTTGGGTATCGAGCACCCTTCTCCACCATCAAGATAATGTTAAGAGGCTCTGAGTGCCATCTTAGTGTGACACTTGTCACATCATAATTAGACAAAATAAGTGGTTTCTGGGCTCCTAGAAGTTTCTCGAAGAGAAATCAATTTGCTGATTGTTAACTTGTCCTCTGTGCATTTATTTTCTGGGCTCAAAGGAAATAATAACAATTGTTTATGTTGGCGGCCTAAACTGAGATTTCCCTAATATGTCTTTTTATCACATTCTATTACCATTTAGTGGTGACTGAGCACCTGTTTTCTAATTATGATCTAAATTATGATCAGTTTTGAGAGTGAGGTAAAACAAAACAAACATGGGACTGGGAAGGATGTCATTGAGATCCCAAAACTGAGCAAGCCTGTGTCTCCCGAGAGAGGAAGCTCATGGCAGCTCTGCATCTGGCAGTACGAGTGTCTGCCAGGCCAAGGTAGCAAACGGCACCATACATGCTCATGTCCCACGTGAGAAGAACACTTGGGCCAGTGTAACCTTGTCCGTCCTGTTCAAGGAGGGGGGATGCTAATTAAAGGAGGCTTGCTACATACAGAAGGCCAGTTTGGGGTCAGAGACTGGTTTGATCAAATACACTTCTTGCCTGAGTTAATGGATTTGTCTTGTGGACTGGCTGAGACTCATTGGGGAAGGCAAGGACAAAAAAGGGATCATGCTGGCAGGCTGTGTGGCTGGTTAGGGCAAAACAGAAATGGTTTCTGATGAGTGGTGGCTGTTTAGGGCAATTGGCTACGTAGGAATCAAGCAGGCAGAGCTTGGGGAACTGGCCCTGACCTGAATGGGGCTGCACTGTGGTCTACTCTTTGGTACTTGTGTGAAAGAAATCTGGAAGAATATGGAGGTGATGTCATTACTGAAACTAAATGCCAATGGTGAGCTTAGGGAGCAAATAGGGGCAAAACTGCCTCCGGGGTGTGGGGTCCCAAAACACATGGACACGTGTCGGAGGGGAGGGTGCTGGCTCCTTGGCTAGCTGCTGTGCTACGATGAGTTCTTTCTAGGCCTCCATTGGGGTTTCTATTAAGTAAAGGGTGAGAAAGAGAACCCCTTAGAGCCTTTTTCCCCTGTGTCATGATTTGTGGATGCAAAGGGGGAAAGGAAACATGAAGAATCCTATTTTTTTCCTAAGGACTGTCATGATGCTGTCTTTTTGGAGAGCAGGAGTCCAGGAGGAATGCCTTAGAGAAAGCCCTTAAGGGGAGGGTACAGGGAGGGGAGCTGCCCTGGGTGGATACGCTGTATCCTGAGGGGAGCTTTGAGCTAAGATGAAGACATGGCTTGTGAAGCTGCCCAAGTGGGAGTTGCATGGCTTCTGTGGGAGAGGTGCGTGTGGGGAACCGGTTTAGGCAGACAGAGGCTTACCCAAATCAAAAAGGCCTCGAGCCACTCTGCAACTGCATAGAGGAGCCTCCCCAGCCTGCAGGCTATGCATGCCAAGTGTCAGTGCAACGGGACTCCAAGAGGAATTCCATATCCCAGCTTGTGTTCTGCATCTGGAGATGCTGACTAAAAGCCAAACTTTTTCTCAAGTGTTTTCAGTCTACAACCAGACACTTGGCTGAGAGGTGTGTGTGCAAACCATGCAAGCACAGACACCTGTTTGTGGATGTGTAGGGGGCTCAAGATCTTAATTTTCAAGAAAGAAAATGAATTCTCCAAAGGGACTTCGACTGAATTAAGGCTGTCATTTGTAGGAAGCCAGATACAGTGACATGAAAATTAATTTTTAATAATAAACAGCAGAGGTGGTGGGAACAGGAGGAGAAGGAACAGCGTGGCGTGTTTTCCACAACATCTACAGGACACAAGAGAAGCACTTAGACACCATAAGGCTGGGAACCATGCTGTCATAACCACCCATGTGGGTGATCGGAGAGGATCTTTGACGTTTGAAGGGTGGGGCTCCCCGCATTGTTGGGTTCCACGTAAATCACATGCTAGTTGCAAAAACCTTACAGGAGGGAAGGAGGCTTTACTCAAGCCAGCCATTCTCCCACCTGATGAAAACAAAAACAAGAAACAAGAACAACATCCTTTCTCCCACACAACTGTATGCAAATTCAGAACGCTCTGGGAAGGGGTCTTCCAAACCTTAACCCTGGTACAGAGAGCAACAGCGGAGAAGAGGCCTGCGGGCCTCGGAGTCTTAGATACAAATGCAGGCAAAGGAAGCGACTTGCAAATCTGGGCCCAAAGTGAGTCCTCCTCCTTGTGGGCACTACCATATGTACCCAACCTCGTCATCTTTGTCGTCATCTTCATCCTCGTCGTCTTCCCTCACTGCCCGGGTGTGCACCCTTAGCTTCCCCTCCTGGTCCTTTGGTCCCAGCTCTCGCTCGTCCTCTAGGTCATCCAGCAGGACCACGGAGCCACCGCTGCCGAAGTCGCCGGAGGTTTCCTGCTCTTCTTCTAGCAGGGAAGGAAAGACCTCGGGTTAGCTCCACTGTCCCTCAAGGCCCAAGCAGGCTCCCTGTGCTTGTGAGGAGTTGTAGGATAAAACCAGGGCATTTACTCCTGCAGTGTGGGAACTCGGCTCGAGTCTCTAGGGCGTGGCCCTGTGAACTAACTGCTCTGAGGAAACCTGTCCTGGTTAAGGTCTTGTCAACCTGACACATTGGGGAAGGAAAACCTCAACTGAGAAAATGCCTCCAACAGGTTCCCAGTAGTCAATCTGTGGTACATTTCCTAGGTCAGTGATTGATGGGAGAGGCCCAGTCCATTGTGGGTGGGGCCATCCCTGGGCAGGTGGCCCTGGGATGTCTGAGAAAGTAGGCTGAGCAAGGCATGGGGAGCGAGAAGGAAAAGCATTCCTCTAGGCTTCTGTTTCAGTCTCTCCAGGTTAATCCCCTGCTCCTGCCCTTTCCTCCCCAAGTTACTTTTGAATATGGTCCTTATCATAGCAAGAGAAAGCAAACAAGACCAGGGCCCAATCCTAAGTGCTGTCCCAGTAATAGTCCCCTGAATCAAAAACTCTTGTCGACCCACTGGAACTGGTGAGTATCTGCTGCTAGCAAAATCAGCTTTGCAAGAGGTCATGAAATTCCAGCATTTCTGTCTCCATGGTAGACTCACTACAGCCAGAGCTGGCTCTTGAGATTCTTCTGTGATCCCCACACAGTGAGGAACCCTGGGTCAGCCGGGGCTGGTGCGGGAGGCCTTACTCACCACAGCTCACAGCGCCCTGTTTCCTGGAGCCAGCCAGCTCATTCCCATATTTATCCACACACCAACACTGCCCCGTGCTGCCGTGACACTGCGTGGCTTTGTAGTAACCTTCCTCATTACACCGAGGTATGAATGCTCCTGTGGGAACAAAAGGGCCAATTTAAGTCAGAGAAAAAGCATAGAGGCTTGGGGTTAATGCCATTTAAGACAGGGAGGGGGGCCTTCGTGTAAGCTAAAGATCTGCTGTAGGGCTGGCAGGAAAGCATGGGCTGGTTGGTTACTATTTTGTAAACATTATAAGGACCTCAGCCTTGAAGAGGAGGTACACATTGGACTCCAGAGAGCTCATTCCCCAATTAGACTTGATAATAGCCAGGAGCATCGAATAGTTACACATATTCTGGGCACTGACCAAAGCAATGTACTTTATATATTAAACATGTTCACATAACCTATTTCCTTTGAACAAACATAGAACGAGGGATTTTGATGAGTTTCATGTTTTTTGCTCAAGTATGCTTGTGATAAAAATTCAGAGTCTGATCATTAATCTTATCAACTTGATTGGATTCACATTAGTAAAGCGCATCTCTGAGAGGTGTCTTTGAGGGCATGACCTAATCAATGGGTTAATCCCTGTATGGATTCATAATAGGCTGGCATTATTGGAAGTACAGCAGCATAGAAAAAGACATGGACAATTAAGGGGCGTGGGATGGCTAAGCAGCTGCTCTCTCGAAAGTCTGACCGAAGCCTCAGGACAGTTGAAAGTAAAGAATCCCACCACAAGATTTTCCATCAAGATTGCCCACAGAGCAACGATACTCCTTCTGCATTGAAATTATCAAATGTGGATTTTAAAATAAAAGCAAACCCTGCTTAGGGCCTGAGCCCATGTAGCCCCTCTTTCAGATATTTTCTGAGATCCTCACTTGACAGGGCTCTAAGTTTCTCATGTGCTTCTGGTAGTGTTGGGTTTTACCTTATCAGCTGGAATCCTTCTGGCATACCTCAGGAGCCACCCTGGGATCTCATTTAGAGTTCTAGTAACCCTTTGAAGAGGTAATTTCATATCCCACCAAAACTGTAACTTTGGCTGCTGCAAACACGGTTAAGTGCCACCCTCCTTGGGGAAGCCCACGTCTGGGCTAGGTGTGCTTCTTTCCCTGCAAGTGTCTATCAATGCTTAAGTCTGCAGTTAAAATAACTTGTTCATACATCTCAGCTTCGTTCCATACTGGCTAGCCCCAAGCATCCCTTCTGAGGTGAGATCAGGGGTCTGGCATTACCTGAGTGGGAGTCCCTAAAGAAAAAAAAATCCATGGGGTTGCAGGTGGCCATGCTGGGTTGCATCTATTTTTGTGCTTCTGCCAGCATGAGTGGATGAAAGGTAGGAGGCGGAGTCTAGTTAGAGAAAGTATGTCATGGGGAGGCATGTAAGCTTCCTGTATTTTCTTGATGGAAACTGCCCTCCAAAACTGTGCATTTTATCCTGTAAGCAGTAATACCAGGTGTTCTGTCACAGTGAAGAGATGTTAAACACATGTTTCTTTGAATTATTTTGCAGCTCTGCTCCACGGACCAGCAACATAATCTAGAACCCCTTTAGAAATGACTTTTTTTTTCTGGTTCTGAGTCAAAAGTTGATCTTGATTTTCTTTTTAAAAGAATTTGTGTTTATCATGTGTGAACGTGTGTGTGTGTGTGTGTGTGTGTGTGTGTGTATTTATGAACTGTGTGCATTCAGTTCTCATGGAGGCCCTAAGGAGGCATCAGAAGCCCTAGAACTGGAGTTATAGACAGTTGTGAGCTACCACCTGGGTGCTGGAAACTGAATCCGGGTTTTCTGCAAGAGCATCCAGTGCTCTTAACCTTGGAGTCATCTCTTCAGCTCCCCTTTCCCCCAGCATCAAATATGAGGCTCAGAAATGCTTTCCATCTATCCTGAGATTGTTCACTTTTAACTTAGGACCTTTTGCCTCACACTGTCAAGCTTTCTCTTTCTCATTAGTTTGTTGAAAGAAACCAACCCTCTCTGATGTGCTGTGTTGGCACTCCTTATTTCACTGGTTTATTCCTTAATCACTTCTGGTTATTGTGTTCTTGGGGTTTTGAGTTGAAATTCTAGTTCTGCTCATTATCTTTGATAATGTGTTTGAAGTCATTCGTGATTTTATCGGCTTCACTTTGTTTCTGTGGAGTTTGGTGTTATCCCTTTTATATTTTCATTCAGTTTAAAATACTCTCTAGGTTTTAATTTAATTCCTTGACATGTTTTTTTTTTTTTCTCACTGTCTGGGCTAGTGAGTTTGAGATGTGATTGTTAAAAATGTGTTTTGTCTATGAGGCTGCCCATGACAGGTGTTTCATGCAAATCTGCATGACTGCATATGTAAATATGAATGTGAATCGCATTGTTCAATTATTCTCTATGCAATTTGTGTCTACTTGAACTGCGTTATTTGTGAAAGCCTATTACAGTTAGTCTTAAAGTAATGAGTACATTGACAGCCTATGGTATGTCTTACTTTTTAGGTATTTGCTTTCCTAGATGTTATCTATCATGTTATAAGAAGGAACATTTTCCATCTTCAGTTTTCTGTACAACCGTTTTTGGTGTAACTTTGAAAATACTTTAAAGTTACGATCAGCAATCCCTGTCTCATAGTATGTCAGTCTGCTCCATGGGCACTGATTGTCACACGGGCTACTCTGTTGTATTTCTGACAGCACGCCTGTCACTCATGTTCGTCATGGTGCCTGTTTCCTGCCTCATATGAAAATCACCACCTTTTAGTTCTGATATTATTGAGGACTCCCCGATATTTTGCACAGAGCAGGATAGTCTTTCCAAATGAGGTCTAAAGTTATTCTGTATTTTCTTTCTTCCTTGGCAAATCAGAAATGTAGCATATTTAAACATCCATGCTTTTGTTGTCCTCAACAGTCTAGAATTTTTATCCTAGCTTGCCATCAAAGTGTTTTGGTTTTGAAATAATGTTTCACTGTGTAGTCTTGGCTGGCCTGGAACTTATTAAATGAACCAGGCTGACCTTGAACTCAGAGATCTTCCTGCCTCCAAAGTGCTGGCAATCAAAATGTTCTATAAGCTGTTGTTCATTTAGAGTTTCTTTTGCATGGTTTCCTATGGAATGTACTTGTGTACATTATCTTAGGTAGTCCAAGAATCTGATCATCGCCTTGAATATATTGGAATGAGTTTAAAATTTTAGGTTCAAAGTTATCTCCACTTGAGATACTATTGTTTTTCTTTCTAAACCAGTGTTACCCATGGAAATCTGATGTCAGTCTTATTCTCTATAAAGGTAGGTAATCCTTATTCATGATTATGAATGAGTTCATCCTCTCTGGGGAATTATAAGGGTGATCCGAGGAGCTACAACCTTACACCAGGCTTCTGGTGACCACCGTGGCTTCTACTAAGTTTGTTTCTGTTGTCTTTGTGGCATAATTGCTTTATAAAATTTAACTTTTTATTTCACAGAATAATACTTTCCCCAAAGGTAATGTTGGAACATCGGGTTTTCTTCGAGTCAGTGAACTTAGTTAGATATAGATGAGCACAGGCTCGACAGGCGTTACTTCAAATGCTTTTCTTTAGATTTGTTCCTTTTATGTGTATGAATGTCTTCCCTGCATGTCTGTCAGCACACTACACGCATGTCTGGTGCCCGTGGAGGCCAGAAGAGGGTGTTGGATCCTCTGCTACTGGAGTTACAGATGGTTGTGAGCACGGTGTGGTATTCAAAATCAAACCCAGGTCCCCTACATGAGTGGCTGGTGCTCTCACACCAGAGTCATCTGCCCAGGCTCCCAGAAGCTATCCCTGAGCATGGCGCTCACCAGGCTGTCTCAGGGTGCCCAGGTTCAAGAGACCAAGTCAGACAGAGAAGGGGGAGTGTCCCACCACTGCAGGGAGCACTTCAGAAAGATGGTGGGTACCTAGGTGCTCCAGCCAGCACACAGGAGCTTTAGTTTTCAGGAAACATAGAGGGAAAAGAGGATTAGACTTTTTTCAACCCCTCATTCAGTGAAAAGGCAGGGAGCTCTGTGAGAGAGTTTCAGTCAAGGACTGACAAGGAAGAGAACAAGCAGAGAGTGTGGGAAATGCTGCACATCCCCCAAGCAGTGGTTAGAAACCACAGCACCTAATAGACCACAAAATAAATCAAAATTGGGCCGAGCCTTCAGGTTGGTGAGAAGCAGGTGTTGTACTTAATGTATAATTTAATAAGATTACTGCTTTTTCTAAGTAGGTAGTAATTATAACTGATTATAATTTGTTGTTGCTTGTTTCGTTTATTTATTTGAGTCTGAATATCCCTGAACACACAGTTGTTATATTAGGAGATTTTCTCCATGCAGAAAATAATTTGTAAGCAGTGTAGATGGCATTTGTATGGATCAGTCTGAGTGAACTCAGAATGTGGGAGGTTTGAGACAAGACACACGTGAGATTATAGTAGGAGAAAGGTGGGAAGTTGTTGCTGGATCATGTGCATTGAGGAGCATGAAAATGAGACATGTCAGGTGGCATATCTATCTATATATCTATATATATCTATATATCTATAGATATATCTATAGATATATATATATATCATTAATGAATGATAACAAAATCACCATTGCCACGGAGCTTTAAAAATACTACAGTTGCATAAACTCCATGTAGACTGTGGATATATCCCCCAACCTAAAACATTACCCTTTATAGAAGAATACAGTTAGCCACCAGACACCCTTGAGTTGGATAAAACCTATGGAGGAGATATCCAGACACTGTGTCTTCAGCCAGGAAGATGTGTTTTACACTGACAAACCAAGACTGCAAGAGTTCAAAAGTACAAGCCATAGAAATGAGTTAGAAGGAAGAGGGGGTGTGCACTATGGGGTGACCCAAAACTCCAGAAGATGAGTAGCAAGCATTCACAGAATGCTTGCATTTGGTGGATCCTTAGAAACAATGTGCCCATCCCTCAAAGTAAATAGATTAACTTCTGAAATGGTGGGCTGCTTCGGGAGTGCACATGCCTCTGATTACTGTGTTCAGCTGTCTGCCCTTTTTAACAGGGAGTGGGAGCAGGTTCCCTTTTCATCAAATGTGATTTGCCAGTGTGCCAGCAATGACCACCCCATGCCCCCTCCCCATCCTAGAGCTGAGAGGACCGAGAGGGAGCTGGTACTCCTGCAACTGACTTACTTCTGCCTTAAACCCCAAGGAGAAAGCAGCCGTGTCTAAATAGGTGGGAGACTTCCATCCAGAGAGGCACATGTCCTTTGACCCTATCTGTTCCATTCTATCAGGGTCACAACTTGTCTTGTTCCTTAAATGGACAACTAGCCCTGGGGAAGAGAAGAAATAGCCTAACTGAAAAGCCTTTCATTTTGAGAGCTGAGAAAATGCTCCATTTGATGGCTTTATGTGACAGGGAGAAACCCAAGAGTTAGTGTAGCCAGCCTCAGAGAGAGGGAGCATCAGAGAGCTGTACTGTGAGCATGGCCGAGCTGCCGGCTGACCCTGGCCTGACCTCTGGCCAGTAGAGGGCATTGTCTGTGGGCCAGCTGCTTGCATGAGCTCAGGCTGGGGGAAAATGAGGCACTTCTTCCACAAGCCACTGTCCCTAATTGAATAAACACTGCAAAGCTGAATGCTACAAGAGATGTGGATGGTTTAATTAGTTGTTCTAATGAGTGGCAAGGAATTGTACTCACCCAACAGGCTCTTCCCCTTGCTCAGCTTCTGAATTCTGTTCATTTCGTTCTGGCAGGGGAGACCTAGAAAATAATTTACAGCAGTCAGTTTCCAGATGGTACAGAATATAATCTCTAATGATTGACTGCACTCTTGATGGGGAGTGTTGGCAACAACACACCTGGGTGTGGGACTGCTCCATATGCTGTCGACTGTGCAACAAAACAAATCCAGGCCATTAGTGTTACTAATTTTAAGGAAAGCTCCACATCACAAGGCACTTAAAAATAGCACGCGGAGGCCACTTATATAACATGGGACACTTCCTACCTACACCAGGTGATTGGCTGGAGGGCCTTTTCATTTACTCGGCAACATCCTTTGGGAGCTAAAAGCAGATGCTAAGGCTTATTCTAGAGGGCAAGACCTTTGAATATACAGACGAACTAGCCAGGGCTCACAATGCCGCCGAACCCCACCACCACATGTGCGCTTTACGCCAGCCGCCCGCCTGAGTTAGGCCCAAATGAATACACAGAAACTAGTATTAGGTTCAAAGCTGCTTGGCCAATGGCTAGGATTCCTCATCTGTTAGCTCAGTCTCAATGATCATAAATCTATATATTTTATAAGACTTATCTTATCAGACACCTTATTGGCGTCCCTCCTTGCCAGTGGATCACATTGTGCTGCTGGAGGAAGAGCGGAGGGGAAAAAGGGCCCACTTCCTGTTTGTCCTTCCTAAATATGAGTCTCCTTGCTATGTCACTTCCTGTCTGGATCATCACTTCGCTACTACATTTCCCAGAATCCTCTTTGACTCCTAATCCTGCCTAACTTGCCATTTCATTGGCCAAACAGTATTTTATTTAACAATCAATAAGATAAACATACACAGTAGTACATTCCCCATCAGGAGCTCTCAGGCATGCCCTCATGGACACGGTGGCCATGTGGTAAGGCAATGAGCAAGTGATGCAATCCAGAGCCAGACTCCACCACAGTTCTTCCTGCTTCCTGAAAACTCAGGACCCCGACATCCCTCCACTACTTTCAGCCTCTGAGTCCTCAATTGAGAAATACATGTTGTGTGCACAACCAGGAGGAAACTGCCGTGAATGACAGACAGGGAGCCACATGGCGAAGTGTGTGGATAACAGGGCATGGGCCTGTGAGATCTCCCTATAGAAGAATTTACTACCAGGCAAAAGTAACAATTGATGTCATTGGTATTTTACAGTTTGTCCATGACTTGCCTTTGTCAGCCTTATGTGTTTGGCAGGTCCTGCCGTGGCTCAGCGTCCTTGTGACACAGGAAGGAATTCTGCACCTCTGCATTCTTAACTGTCTGTCTCTACAGCACCCACTTCTGTCTGTTACTGTATGGGTTTTACAACACCACCAGGCAGGTGAGGAATAGTAGGTTGCAAAATGCGTGTTTCTTACTTCATTCAGGGTAAAGAGAAAGACTGAAACAAATCCAGTTCCACTGTGAGAAGGAAGGCAGGCCAGTACTGACTATGACAAATAGATACCATTTACTCAAGTGTTAGAATGTTCTAGAGCTTTTTAAAAATCTTTACAACCGCCATATGAGATAGATACTTATCATCCAAGGCGGAGTAGAGACAGTTGGTATACAGAAGGATGATCAGACTGATTGGAAGAGAGCCATGTTCTAGTTTTACCATGTTTCCTTTAAATCTTCCTGCAGTAGTTTCAAAAACAACTTATTTAAAGAAAGAAAAAAACAAAACCAATGGAAATCTACTTAAATGCAGACGAGAAGGATACACACACATTTTTTTTTCATTTTTAAAATGAAAAAAACCCATCCTGGAAATGAGTTGCTGCTGAGGGGATGACAGCACACAGTGCAGGGTTTGCTAAGTCAGGGGCGCTAATGAAAACGTGGACTGTGGAAGAGCAGAGTTCAGGACACAGATGGCAGGCTCAAGGATGGTTGTGACATGGGAAGAAACGAGTAGAAAATTAAAGAGAGGAAGTTCACCCCCGAAGCCAGGAAATTTAGATGAAACATTTCTGTTGAGGCTGAGAAAGACTAAACTTAAATGCAGAAAAGTTTCCAGGAAACGAGAGTCTAATTCTAGAGTTCCCAGCCACAACACACACACTGAGCAGGGCTAAAGTGACCTCCAGGAAATTAAGGTCCTTGAGCAGAAAAAGATTCCTGCGTATGATGGGGACGTCCTTCTGTATATATGTTTCTCTTATTGATGAATAAAACACTGTTTGGCCAATAGAGGCAGGGAGATAGGCAGGGACAGTAGATGAGGGGAATTCTGGGAAAGGTAGGCAGAGAGAGAGAGAGAGAGAGAGAGAGAGACACCATGTAGCTGAGGAGGAGTAACAGGTATGGACATTCTCCGGTAAGATAAGATCACATGGAAATACATAGATTTATAGAAATGGGTTAATAATTAAGACAGGGCTAGCCAATAAGAAGCCCGAGCCATTGGCCAACAACTGTGTGCTTATTTGGGGGACTGAGGGCAGCGGGACCTGGCGGAAAAAAAAACTCCAGTTAAATGCATAGTTTCTTTTCTGTTGCTTTTGGCCATGGTGCTTCATTGAGGTGACTTAGAAAGAAATTCTGACTTAAAGTCCAGGAGGACTGGACTCCAGAAGGCACACCATACAGATATGAGCAAGAAGCTTGTTGGTGACATTTCCCCTATGCACAGGAGGCCGAGAGGCCTCAGGAAGTGGGGAGAGGCCCTGCCTTGTAAAGGTTCCTCAGACTCCCTAAGCAGCGCCACCAGCTGGGGACATTTCTCATTCAAGCCAGAGCACATCCCGCCAGCTTCCAGGCACAGTGGTTACATCACCCGTCAAAGAAAAAACTACGATGGCTTCATGTTTCCAAGAAGAAAGCAGGAATATTTTCAAATATTTCTACTAAATATCTCCTAGAAAGACAACTTCCAAAAAACTTGGGAAAAATCTTAGAAAACTAAAGCATTCATAAAACGAGAATACCACAATATCTCAGGTTTCCCTTGGGTCTTGGGTCATCGGGGCCTTAGCCATAAAGTTACCAGACAACAATCTGTAGCATCTACAGCTTCAGCTCTGCTCTGGGGAAAACCCTGGAGCTTTGGATGTACTCAACACTGACCAATAAATTCTAAGCATGACACCCATCATCTCTAATTTTCTTCAGGAAATAATGCAGTAAATCAAACAACAACATGGGGATAAAAGGGAAATAGTGAAAATGAAAAGTAATTTTTCTCAGAAATAACCCTGGATCATTCCTAGGCACACCTAGGAAGGAATCCTGACTTCTTCCCTCACCCCACCCACATGCCAAGGGGGAGCCTGGCCAGAGATAGCCCTGTGGCCAAGCACCTAGCTCAAGGTACGGCAATGAGTATACTCAGCACAGTGGGCGGGCTAGGCTCTTTGCCAGGAGCATTTTAGACCAAAGTAAAACAACTGCTATAATTTAGCTCCAACCTGTGTTAGCAGATATAGTTACGGAGCAGAAAGAAATGAGGTGCAAAGGGAAGGGAAAACAATGCAATTGTATTTTAATATTTACAGAAAAATGTATCAATGTTTGCACACAATGCAGTTTACACCTGAAAACACCAGAGCCACTGGAGACAGAGAATTTAGCGAGGGAGCAGAAGGGAATGAGGAGTCATTTACAGTTATGCCAAGATGGGAAACGCAATGACCACAAACCTGAAAACTCTCAACTCCACCAGCTATGAGAAGCCTCTAAGGTACAAGGACTCAATATCATACAGCTGAGAGGAACTTTTAATAAATGGGGCAAATGCATCCTAAGTTCAGGAGCACAGAAAAGCATGACTACTCAGAGCAAGAGAGGCGCGACCTACAATAGACCAAGACCTAGGGTCGATCAACTGTGATTTAAACTCTTGTATTAAAATGGGATAGAATTGATTTATGGATATTTATGAAAGTGGGTCTTAGTATTCAGGAATAAATCTAAGACACATGCCTATATATCAGACATGCTACTGACAGAAGAGAGAATAGTCAGTTAATGATTAAAAAAGGCAATGAGGTTGTTATCTCCAAGCTTGGAGTAGAAGCTGAGGCCTCCTCTAGTGTGTACACATAGGTAGAGTAATGCAGATTTGAAGAAACACAAAACCACCAAAGTCAGTAGAAGCATCAGAAAGTTGCTTTACTGGATTCAAGTGAAAAAAAATACCCTTCAAAGCCTAATGCAAGCATTACGACTTATAAAAAGACATACAATAAGAAAATGAAGACATGGAACAATTTCAAATTTTAAAATTTGCCTCACTAATGAGAAAAACGCACAAAGTCAAAGCTGGGGGAAACGTAGACCTACAATACCCGCCACTAGCCAAGCTCTAAGTTCATAGACATTTTCCTACAGAAGACAAAACACAATTCCAATAAGAAAAATATACAAAGAATGTAAAATTATTTCAAGGAAACAGAGACTTAAGAATGTCCCAGTTACTCAGATGTTGAAGTCAGAAGGCAGTACGGCACTGTTTTGACCCACTTTGGCAATAGTGGCTAGGTCTGATAGTGCCATGGAAAAGCAGTACTGGGAAATTTTTTTCTCATCAAATATATCTAACACAACTCCTTTGGAAGGCAGACTGGCAGCTGTACTGAAATGTAAAAGTGCGTGCTCTGCCCCTGGGGATGCCATGGTAACCCCGTGAATATGCACATGAAATTAGTCTTCACTGAAAGCTCTCTGGAGTGTCTACATTTTACATGTATGTCCCAGCATCTTTGTGCACATGCATAGATATTGCATGATTTAAATACTACTCGTAGACAGCCAGCCAGACTTCTGGTCCACTGGGTATAGCCCCCAGGAGTCAGAGACGACAGGAAAGGCGGCCATGGGAAAGCAGCGTGAGGCCTCTGGATGGAATACTGAACCAGGCATGCTGGCTTGCCTGACTTTGGGTGACAGGAGACACCTAATAGCCCTTCCTATATTCCTTAGATGTGGTGTGCTTTGTTAGCTGTGATTTTGTTAGCAGCATAATACTGTAGTTAAGGAGAATTCATGTGACAATGGGAAATACGATCCTCTTACATTTTTACAGTATGTTTCACACTGAGAATCTCATGGTGACATTGAGAACCATGTGGTGAAGGTTTCTGCACACCCGTTTTATAGATGAAAATGCTAAGCACTGTAAGTTAAGGACGCTTTTCCAAAGGAAGTAATTGCTTTGTGAAGAGACACCACCATTTTACTCTTAGCTTCCTGAAATGCCATGTTAAAAGCAGACAGGCCCCTTTGGGCTTCCCTTTCCATAGGGTGACTGACGGATGGCTGTGTCTTTCTGTGCATGGGTCTCTGGTGCCCTCCATGCCCAGTGTGGCTGCCGGGCCTTTGGTCCCCGCTTACTCACCTCCTGGCTTCTGGAAGCAGTAGCACCACTCGTTGTTGGAGAGTTTGCCGTCCTTGAAGGAGTCACAGGAGTTGAAGAGAGGCTTGATGCAGGGCTCATATTTGTCTAGGTAGATGGCGTTGATCTCCGAGTGGTCCAGCAAGAGGTCATAGTTCATGTCCAACTTGTTGAACATCCAGCCCAGGGAGTCCTTGCAAATGGGCAGGATGCTGGTGTCAAACCCTGTGAGAGAGAGGGGTACCTCAGCCTTCTAGGCAGGGAGCACACCCTGCTGCTCCCTAACCTGGTGACCCCCCTCCAGGGGCCAGGTTACACCCTACTGTGCCCTCCCTTCTGGCTTTTCCCTTTATTATATGACACGTGTAAATATCCTAAAAGCAGGAGCCAACTTTGGGGAAAATATCTTCAAAAGAGAAACCATTGCCTATGATAATGTATCTGTGTTGTAAATAGGAGCCCCATTGTCTATAAACCTGCTTGCAAGATGTGTCTGAAAAGAAAACTACAAACACACTAAAACATAAACCATATAATACTGAAACCTGAGTTTCTCTTTTTAGGAAAAAAATGAAGACTCAAAACACTGGAGAAAGGAGCGGGGGAGACAACAGCAGGTGTAAGAGGCTCATCTATCCCAGAGGCCCAGTCAGAGGCTGCAGGGCAGAGCACCCCACATCCTGCCTCTGCAACCTTTCTTCTTTTCTGCAATCCCCCAAGGAGCCACAGGAGATGGAATCCAAATCAACTCAGACAATCATTTCTTTCTTATTTCCCCAGGGAAGGGGAAGTTGTTTTTCATGAAGACTGTAAACGCAGGAATGCTTGCTTGCACTCAGCTCCACACTCTGGAAGCCACAGCCCTGTGGATGGACACCAAGCCCATCTTTCTCGCACAGCCAAGGGATAACAAAATCCTGGCTTATTCTAGGCACTGAGTCTGCAGGACTGGCTTTGTTTTCCTAGGATGGCACAGATAAAAGTGTTTCTAAGCACTATACACTTATCTCACAAAATCCAAGTAGCAGTCTTGTGAAATGACGTCATCTCTGCCTTATAGATAAATAGCAAGACCATATGATTTCAGAATTCGAATTGAAATCCAGGCACCCCAGTCCAGATCTAGAGTCCCCACACCAGGCTCTCTCCCAGGCTCGCCTCTGCCTTCTTTGACACATCTGTCCTGAAGCATCCCATTGGCTTACGGTGCTATGTCTGGGATACAGGATCTGCGGCATAGGGCCCCGATGAGTTAGACTGTCCACTCCATGTTGTGGAATATTATTTTTAGATGTGTTACATCTGTTTATGCTGTGGAGCACCTGCTTAATGATGCAAGGATGCATTGTATTCTTTTATGTTGCATTTGTTTAACTCTATGAAGCTGTGTTACTTTCGCTACCTAAAACACCTGATTGGTCTAAATAAAGAACCGAGTGTCCAATTGCTAGGCAGGAGAAAGAATAGGCGGTGCCGGCAGGCAGAGAGAAAAAATTGGAGGAGAAATTTGGGAAGAGAGGACATCAGGAGTCAGCCATGATGTAGGAAGGAAGGAAAGGTATATAGGATAGAGAAAGATAAAAGCTGGCTAGAAATAAGCCAAGCTTAAGGCTGGGCATTCATAAGAAAGAGTAAGCCTCTGTGTGCTTATTTGGGAGCTGGGTAGTGGGCCCCCTAAAGAACAAAAAAACCTACAACTTCAGTGTTCCCTGCCCTTCATGGACACCACGGGGAGCCTTTGTTTAGTGGGACTCAGAGAAGATGAAGCCGCATGACAGATCTGTACAGAAATCTATACAAGGGCTGCAGCAACCTCCTGGGGACTCTTAGGGGAGCCCGGGACCCCCACTGCTGATGCTCATTAATTAGAGGAGGAGCTCTCTGAGGGGAGACCTCCATATTGAATAACCTCGGCACTGTGGCATATTGTATCACTGAGAATATTTGATTTCCAGCTATAGGGGCTTTCTAGCCAGCTTGATGTTTACCCTCTCACATAAATCTTCACATAAGTAAATTTATTCGTTTTGCTACCAAAGGATAACATCCTTTAATTTGTTTTTTTCAGATGAGACTATGGGGTATGACATGATCTCTTCTTGAATGACCTTCCTGATTTGTCAACCAGAAGATATAAAAATGCCAACCTGTGTGTGTGGCTTAATCAAAAGGTCAAGTCTGCTCCACCTATTGCCAGTTTCAGAAAACGGCACCTGCACCTGGCATCTGCAGCTGTCAGAGACAGAGAATGGGGCCTAGAGTAAGGCTCCGGGGCTGCCTCTTCAGCATGTATAGGATGACAAATGTGTTGTTCTTTTTTCTGGCCTCATAGGACCATTCTTACCCCATGGCTTCAGGACATCAAACTTACAGTGGCTTTGGGGACTCAGTTTACTCCTGGGTATACAAGTGTTTCCCAGGCTCCCATCTGTCTACAGAAAGGCTCCAAGGACCTACTGGAGGCTTCAATGAGGTTTCTCCCTAACAACCTACTTTCTGTGGAGAAGTTATTCTGAAAACCTGGGGCTGGGCTGCTGTTGGGATACTCACAGACAAACTTTTCTAGATGGAAATTAGTGTACACAAACTCCCAGGGAACCTCTGGGAGGAATGGGAAACAAAACAAAAAACCTCTCTCACCTCATCATCCTATAAACACGGCTACCAGGACCTGCCCCCATACTGCCCCATGTAAAGGGTATTCTGGGAAGCAAGACTTATCTCGCCATTGAGGCAACAGAGTGAAGCTGTTATACTAAGAAACCCTTCTATCAGTGCTCTTCATTGATCTCCCAGGTATCAGAGAACCAACAAAAGTTAAGATCATTGCTTTTGTTCTTTGAGACACCATCTAGCCAGGTGGCTCAGGCCAGTCTGCCTCCTGTCTTTAAATGATGCTCCTGCTTCTGCTACCCTCACATAGGGGAAAGCGCGTGGACCCCCACACTGGGCTGGAGCTCAGAGACTGGTCCAGCTCAGTAGTGGATTTGACACTAATGTCTCACCTCCGGCCTTCAAACAGGGAGCATTGCTTTCACAGTTCCACCCAAACGACTGAAGGAGGAGGCTGGGCAAACACTTTGACCAGGTCACCACAAATGCACATCTCTTTCTTTAGCCAATATGTACTGTGGCTAAACCCACGTGTCTGATAACTGAGAAGAGATCCTTATAGTGGAATAGCAAGAGCAGAATGGTCTTACTTCCTTGGGCTGTGTCAGAGCTGGTAGGCTTGATGACTCTGTTGGCATCCTCATGAAGAGCCCCGAACCAGTCTTTCAGCCGGGAAGCAAGGTTCCTCAGCTCCTTGTCTGTGCAGGCTGCAGGGAAACACACAGCAGATGGTCAACACCGTGCTTTCTGCCCTTTGTGTACAAGGTCACCGGTCAGGCTGCATTCAAGGCAATTCTCCTTGCCCAGACACCCTGAATGCCCCCTCCCCAAGGAGTGCTACTGTCACAAGTCAGACGTGGGACAAGGAAAGAGCTGTATTCCCAGGTCTTAGACTGTCTCAGATCAAGCAAGCTGCTGGCACTTCACATTTATGCAGTGTCCTCCAAGTCTGACTGACAGACCTTTTTGCCAAGCACATACAACTTGTTATTGCAATTTGCTGGAGAACATGACACCTTCTGGTATGCTCACACTAAGAGATTAACCAGATCATGCTTCTGGGGAGAAAATGCCTGGGGCACCATGATAGCCCAGGAGCAGTGGATTCCCCATTTTGTACTGGGACGACGTGGACTTGTAAATTTGACCTCTGTTTTTTCCTTCCATGTACTCATTGCAACTCTCCACTACTGACAAGCAAATGTCTTCATCACGGAAGATCCCTTTCTGCCTCCGCCCTGGTCACCACTTTAGTGTAGGACAGAGTGATGGGGACTAATACTTAGAACAAGAAAGTCAGGGTGACGAGTAGCAGTGGGTGCAAACTGTTTGAGGGCTTGTAGATTTGAGAGGGGCAGTCAAAAAGAAGGGAAGAGTGAAAACATGGGAGTGGACTCTGTCGTGCTCTCTGCTGTCCCTTTCAGGGCCCACCTTCATTCTGAGGGAGAGAATGCTGGCTGGGGATGCAGGCAGTGGGGGGTTATCAGGATACTGGAGAAGACACAACTGGTTTATGTCTGTCAGCAATCAGAGAAACGTTTAAAAACCACAAGACCAAAAGGGAACCAGGAACCGACCTTCACGACTGTTAGCTTTTCTAAAGCTCGAGTAGAGCAAGCAAGCTAAGAAGTTGAGCACACCGCCGTTCTAATGCCGAGCTGAATCTGGTTCTCTCCCAGCGTTGAGAGGACACAGCTGTTGGCTCAGACCTGCTGATGTTCCAAGCTCTCCCTGGAATCCTCAGAGAGCAATGATGGAGACACAGAGTGTCGTCCCAACCCCACTCCAGCCTCCAGAAAGCACAATGCTTGACTGAATCCCAGTGCTCAGCCCCAGCGGACAGCCTTGCTGTCGGGGAGAATGCAGGGGAAGGGACTGAGCAGGTGCTTTCCCCATTTCACAGTTGTGTCTATTCTTTAGCCTCGGTTGGTGCAGCAGTCAGCTTCGCAGACCTCACTCGATAAAGGTCTTTCTCCAACAGGCCCAGGCTGCCCCGTACGGCCTGCAAATCTTCATCCCTACCTTCTCTTCCTCTAGGATGCAGGCTTTGGTATCTACATGACATCCAGCTATTGATATCAAGCTGCTAAAGACCCAGACACGCTGCTTTGCCTTTGACACAGAGACCTGACCATAGACACAGGTAGGAAGTGGAAGAGACTATTTTGTTGGTCGTAGACTGTCACACTGTGGGGTCACTCTGCCTGGAGTGAATCTCAGCTTTATCGCCCAGCACAGACCTATCCCTAAAATTTCCTGGGATCTCAGTTCCCTTATCTGCAAACCCAGGATAATAAGGTCCTGACAAACCTGACAGCATGTTTCAAGCTCTTAACAAATTACATGACCATGTGAAGACTGTGCCAGATAGGGCTTTAGTTCTTTTCCATAATTATTATTTTAAATAGAATATTTAGAGGTAGGCTTAGAGCAAAAGAGTGCTGTACATTTCAGAAAAAATAAGTCAAATGCAAAAAATCAAAACTGGCTTTGACCACCTACAAAATACATGCAAGTGGGTTATTTGTGTAATCCTATGTCAGTGAATTAATATTAAATAAATGTACAAACTGATGCCTCAGGCACACGTCTCTTTTTGTTTTTCGAAACAGGGTTTCTCTGTGGCTTTGGAGGCTGGTCTGGAACG